CCCTGAATCATGGTAGTCATTCCGGCAGCCCCTAAGCCTCCTGTCTCTCCCCTGTAAACCCAGGCCCGCAGGAAACGGCAGCCAGTGGAAGGGACGGCCTCTTCCAGCTTCCTGCGCTCACGCCAAGCATGTAGCTGCTGCTAAGTGGGGGTCCTCGAGGCTGATTCCTAGCCGCCCCTTTTGGTCAGACCCCCACTGCCGAGTGTTTTCCAGCCTGCTACTCACCATCGTAGGTACCCCTCCAGCATCCCCATTCTGTCAAGCACTCCCGGTGGAATGTAATCTTCACCCCAAAGCCATGAGAGACGGCATTGTTTAATCAGCTCCGTTTTGCAGAAGGGGAAACACGCTCAGAGATTTAAAAAAGAAGAAGAAGAAGAAACATTCCCAAGGTCCCAGAGATGCTGAGGAGCAGGGCAAGCAGCACTGGGCTTGAACCCTGCCTGATGGGCCCCGAGCCTACACGGTTATTAGCCTCTCCGCCACTGCCTCTTGCATTGCCCTTCTCTGCCCATCAGGCAGTGGTGTCTGCTCTGCTCTCTCTGTGGACTCCACCCGCACACTAAAGGCTCGCCTGTTCTTCAGAGAAATGGTAACCAAGTCCTTCACCAACTTACTCCGGCCTTGCCTCCAGAGGACCTTAGCCCTGCCCTGAGAGGAGGCTGCAACAAGCACAAACCAGAAGTGAGTCTGGTCACCTGGTGTGTCCCAGCGTTTGAAAGCAGATTCTGGATTCCAGAGTCCCGTTTGGACTTCAGAGCCCGTTTCCTTGGTAGTTTCTCTCGTTCACTTTTCTCACATCCTTGGCACTAGAAACTTAATTTTAACTGACCATGTATTGAATTGAAGTATTGAAGCACAAACCATCGGTTGGAAGGGAGGGGCAGGGAAGAGAAAGGGGGACCTGCATTCCTTTAATTGGATATAATTGCACCAACTAAACCAACTTCTCTGGGGTGGGCCTTCTGGACAAGCTCACGACCTTGGCCTCATGGGTCAAACAGGCCCATAGCTAAGAAGGGGCATGTCTAGTTTTACATGATCAAACTTGGAACATCAATAGTGCACAAACTGCCATTTACCACTAAGGAGTGCACTGAGATTTGGCAAGAGGTGGTGGAAGTAGAGACAAAGGGGGAAATTGGACTCAAACAACACCCTTCCTGTGGCCAGCAAAGCCCTAGTCTTCTGGCTCCTCACCAGCCTATCCCCCTATCTCTTGCTGTCCTCTGGGAGCAAAGAAATCCTCCTGCCTCAGGACCTTTGTGCCTGCCATTCCCTCTGCTTCAGCTGCTCTTCCCCTGAGGCTTACACAGCTCACTCCTCACTTCATCCCAGGTGCTATTTAAATGTCACCCTCACGGGGAGGCCTTGCCTGAACCTCCATTCTGTCACAAGTAAGCCCTGTCACTCTGTCCCTCGCTCTGCTTCACTTCCAGCCTGGTGTGTACCACTGCCTGGCACTATACGTTGATCCAGATGCTTGCTGTCACGTCTGTGTTCTACACGTCCCAGTGCCTGGCATTGATTATGAATGGGAACGCTCTTAATGACCATCCATGAAACTGAGAGGTTAGGTTCTCAACTTTCCTAATGCCGCGAGCCTTTCATACAGTTCCTCATGTGGTAGTGACATCCCAACCATAAAATTATTTTTGTGGCTACTTCATCGCTGTCATTTTGCTTACTGTGATGAATCAGGTGACCCCTGTGAAAGGGTCGTTCGACTCCCAAAGGGGTCGCAACCCACAGGTTGAGAACCACTGGGTTAGGCGCTCTCCATACGACTAACACCTGGGGCTGAAGCCTTGCTTGTCTAAATGAGGAGCCCTACGCGCCGGGCTGCTAACCACTAAGTCAGAAGTTTGAATCCACCCTTGGAGAAGGACGTGGCTGTCTGCAAGAATGACAACCTTGGAGACCCTAGGGAGCAGTCTCTTCCATCCTACAGGGTCCCTATGCGGCGGAACTGACTCCGTGGCAGGGGCTTGGTTGGTTGAAGTAAAAAGCCAGAATGGTGATTATTTGCCATTTGGTTCTGCAGAAGAGCAACAAAGAAAGCTGAGACCGCGTACACTAAGGCGTGCCGTTATCCTGTTCCATGACCGTCCCGGGAGGAGGTCTTGTTGCGGCTGTTAGGTGCCCTCAAGTCTCTGCAGTCTACAGAGGAGAGCTGCCCCGCTGGGCACACTGCCTGGCCTTTCTCCACAGAGCTGCACCTGGGTTCCAAGGGCAGGTCTTTAAGTCAGCAGCAGGGAGCTTGACCACGGCACCCTCATCCCCAGAGCCCCCATTACAGGTGGGGAACCCAGTCAGCAGAGGCAGACAAAGTTTTTATGGAGCCTGGAATATGTACAATTTGGAGGCCTGTTCTTTGAGAAAAATCGTGCAAAACCCCCCACAAATACAAAATTAGGTGCAAGGCCTTAGAAAAGGCCTTCTACTTATGGCGGGAGTGGGGGTTGGGGAGGTTGGGGGATTGCAGATAGTCCCTGAGTTTTAAGGGTACTAGGACTCTCAGGGGTGCTTGGAGACACTGTGTAACCCAGAACGCTGGGACGATGGTCATATATTTTCCCATATTCTGAGAAGTCCTAAGTACACTAAGAACACAGCTGCATTTGTTAAGATTAGTCCCAAGGAACTGTTTGTGCTTAGAGCAATTTTATCCCGGTGTTATTGTTACATTATGTGCACTATGTACCCTTGTCTCATTTTATAGAAAGCTGCAATTTGGAAATAAAATTTGCCTTTGGATCATCAGTCCACTGGCCATTCTTTTTCTTCAGGTCGTCACTCACTGCAGGTCCATACCGGTGGACAGTAACTTTATTAGCTTCCTAGTGGGCCAGCTAAGTCCCTCAGAGAAAACCCAGTGGCTGCCCCACACCCAGGAGCAGGGGTCTTGGCAGTTCCAAAGGCACTGGCCCCAGTACTGTGTAAAGGCAGGTGT